TGCTCGTTAACCGAAGATTTCAAAAGCTCTAACGAGCAATATGAAAAATACATGAATCAGAAACAAATTAACATGGAATTATGTATACATTTCCAAGACCTAATTATATGCCCGTGTTACTAAATATTTATCGTAAACTGCCTAGTACAATGCTACAACATACCAAGTAACGGGGCCGGGTCATCATAGGCACTAACCGGCGGAAATCCAGGCAGAATGAACGAGAAATCAATGTCAGGTGCTAATAAGTAGGCGAAAACAATGGGGAAGTCCAGTGAATCACAAAGAAACATCGCGTCATTGTAAAGTTGTGTCGTAAACGCCATGAGGTACTCGGCCGAATGCATCAGAAACAGATAGTCGTAGTGGTCGAGGGAAATGCGAACAGTGTCGGCGATCTTTGACACCAAGTACCATGTCAGAACATGGTTCGCTTCAATTCGGTCAGAGATAGGCCCAGGAACAGCCCACAACGATAACATCAGGTCGTGGACGAACGGCATCGGGGTGGGATAGAATGCGGCATCGCCATGAAACTCGATCCATGCCGGACTACAAGTCACTTGCCAAACGTCTTCAAACACCGTAGTTAATTTCCGTCGATCGCCAGCACCGTCTGGAAGCGCTTCGCCGTTGTGCGTATCCTTCTCATCGTCAAAGTGAGTCAGATAGCGTCTGAACGCCTGACTGCTTCTAATAGCAGCAATGTCACAGTAGCGAGGCTCAGCACGATCTCCAGCAGCAGCAGCTTCCAGTGAATCCAAACAATCGACAAGGGACAAAGTTCCACAGCTCCGTGCGTCTGTGTGAAGCTCATTGGTGACGACAACGACAGACGTCTGCAGCACCATGGTCGTAGGTTCCTTAGGATCCATCGACGCCACGTCGGGCTCAAACGAAGGCACGATCAACTAAAGGAGTGGATAACAATTGCTCCCGTGTTAATTTCAATAACGTCATCAACCATACCTGTGGCATCAACAGCGTGACCCGCACGTCCGTAGCAAAATCTGACAGGTTCTGTTCGATCAACAACGGAGCCTGAAAATTACCGTTTTAACGATAAATGCTCTAGAAAAAAACCATTACCACCTACGATTGATTTATTAATTTTGTGAAATGCATACAAAATCCACCTCACGGTCCTGCAGTCTAAGTACAACCGGATAGGATTCATCTCCACGTAGGTACTGTCAGCCGGAACTATAGAAAAGAAAAGTCTCAAGACACTCCATCGAACAAAAACGTAACAACTACGCGATTACTGTACAAAAAATTTTTTTGCAATATCCGTGATCGAGAATCGATAATTTTTTCTTTGCACTACCTGGAAGGCTTTCGTCAGATTCGTAGTAAAACTCCGAAAGTTCCATGTGAAAAAGGGGAACATCACAGGACAGCTTTACAAGCTTATGGTCACCGCAAAGAAGCTTCTTGCTCTGCTGTTTACCGGACGATGAATCGGTCACGCAGTAGACGACGATGTCTTCGATTCTTAGCACGTAACAGGCCGAAAGTAGGTTTTCAAAATTTGAATAGAACTTCTCGCGTTCTTTGGCATCTAAACAGAAAAACTTTCCTGAACAAACCGTTAGCATTACGTAGATGACTACAAACTAGCCAAAAAAAATTGACTGCTTTCTTTTAAGCGCTCGCTTTAATATCTGGGGAGGGTAGAGCCATTTCTGAAATAAACATCACTTTTTTTTTAAAAGGGCAACGCCTCTAACTAAATGTGCAGACCTACCAGACCGTTTTGTCCAGTATAAGTGTGCGGTTTCAATGGTTTACAGTTCATATCGGTTAAATCAGCTATCAATGGGTCCAGGTACATCAGGTAAAAAGTTATCATAAGTCTTGCAAACTTTAGAAACACCAGAACAGCTTGTTGACCGAATGGTTCACAGGTCGTTGATCAGCCGCTAAGTTATCAATCAGCTCAGCGAAGCACACGTGGCAAATTCCTAACTGGAGAAAATTTTCAGTTAATTAGAGAAATAGTATGCTGTGTCTTGACTGAAACAGGCATATCTGAATTGTAAGCTGTACAGATGTGAACTAGCACAAGTATCCATCATTTGACATATGTGAAAGATGGGTTGCACATCATTAATATATTGATTCATTTTGATCGATCACTACTCAGCAGTCGTCAAAAATACGCCGGTTACAGCGCTTTTCAATTTTTTCTAGTTTGTGCCTTCCTGTGACACGGTAGTCCTTTGGATCAGACAAAATCGTGCCAACATTCTGGAGGATGATCCAACGGCTTTTAGCGCGTCCGCAGACACTACTCGATAGCAGCTGTCCATGGACGGGTAGTAAAAGAGTGACACGTCAAACCCATTGCAATTTGCTCTCCACGATGACATCTTTCACTCCGATCTGGTGTACAACACCTACATTCAGGATATGGATGCGAAACTAAATCGCCATCAATCTTCTTCCCATGGCTTATGTGGCAACACATCGACAACATTCCTCATCTTTCCTCAGTAACCAGGTTTTGCAGCCATAAGGACTGTGCCGAAGAAGTAGGTGTACAGCGATCTGCCCGTGTTTCCAAGTAACATGTTCTTAATGGAGCTAAAGCCGAACAATCTGCCTTCCTGCTGGCCAGATTTCAGCCTTCTGATTGCATGTAAATTTCCAGCTTTAAATAGATGTCGCCCTTCATTTCTTCCATAGCCTCTTCATTAACGGTGATTTGGGCCTTCTATAGGAAAGCAGTTTACATATACGTTGCTCTGATGGTTTGCCCTTCAATCTGACTTTGCAACGTTCTTTATCGACTTCTTGTAGCGCATCTTGGATTTCTCTGGGACTCTCAGCAATCAACACGCCGTCTTCAGCGAATTTGAGATGACCCATCGGCTCTCCGTTTATCTTTATACCTCCATTCCAGTCTATCTGTCTAAATATCATTTATAGACAGAGCATAAAAAGCTTTGGAGAAATTATCTCCTTACTTCATGCCTTTCTGAACTTGAGTACGGAGGAGCATGTCCAACGGTGAGCTTCGTCGTGCACCCAGAGTAATACGTAATATGTAAAACTGACCTCGCGAAATGTGCTGCCACCCAAATATCAGGTAACTTTAAGCCATTAGTAAATTTTGCCTCAATCCACAACATTGACGGTCATGAATCAGCTATTAAATTGTTGCCGGTTGATGACAGTGAAACGCCTGGACTGGAGGGTTCACCCTTATGAAGACGCTCGTGTGTGGTAAATAATGGATTCTATATCGACTTTTTCAGACGTGCAACGAATCGATACTTCCTTCAATAATATTTCAGAATAAAATTTTCGATTGATACTAGCCGATACAGAATCGCATAACAGTCATCTAATCGGTCTTGATATTCAGCCTTTTAGGAAAAAAACAAATTAAACCCCTTGAATCTATGCCAATCCGCTGAAAATAAAGAATCAAACTCAACAGTGAAGCACAACTGCCAAATACAAAGATCAACATTGATCTGTTTTATACTTTCTCTTGAAACAAGAAGTAGAACTTACTCATTTCAGCAGCGAAAAATTTACGGTAATGTTGCAAAAGACTTTGAATCCATTGCTGAGACTTGACCTGTTGATAAAATACCCAATGTTCCCTGGAGCTGCCTAAAATAAACGAATCGCGTCAAGTTCTGACGGATTAAAAAACAGTGTTGAGTACCGGCAATGTGGTATGGATAAGCGTCGAAGGCAAGTTTCGTAAACGACAGCTTTATGGCACCGTTGCGGATCTCCCAATCAATTGGATAATCTACAAGTTGATAAGTTACCGATATGCGGTGGCAGCACTAATCGACTTACTCTTGTCGGTTTCTTCATCACAGATATGCAAATCAACATTGCCTATGTAAAAGTGGAACGAACTTTCCTTCACGTCAAATTTTCTGAAGGTAGCGTCAGCGGCGGTCGACGGATACGAAGACATTTTGCTGCTAAAAACGAACGTCCCGGAGGTCGAATTTTTTGCTGCCGCAACCTGAACCGAAAACAGAAATTAATTTGACCTTGGCAGAAAAATGTACGGTTTCTCTTCCATCGTACCCCCTCATCAGAGAAACTTTCGTTCACCTCTGAAGCTTTCTGAACTAAGGACGAAACGAAGTGGTAAAAGCCGACCGCAGACTGCAGCTCCGAAAGCGTCGCTACCCACAGCAGATCATCGAGGATCACTGATACTCGTCCTCGAACAAGCGTGCCATCTGAAAATGAATGAATTTTACATGAAACACCGTAAGTAGCCATAAATCTTAAACTTTGTTAGTGCTTTTCACATACCTCAACAACTGACGTTGCTACGGAACCCTACAAGCTAATGTTTAAGTTTTAAAAATATATATATTTTATACATTTTAAAAATATATATTAGCGATGTTTTGATGTTACGCAGTGTGTTGGATCGAACACAACAAAACAGTTTACTACCCCCAACGCTTCGATCTACCAATCAAGGTGTTTTT